TCCAGCAAATCTTTCATATACTTTATTTGCTTATTTCCGATGACCTCCATCTCAATTACTTTCTTACAGAATACATCATAAGACTTCTCGTACACTGATACTCTCGTTGCTTCTTCGTCTCTCTGGCGAAAAATATTGTATAATTGCAGTAGCAAACTTTGTGATAGCGGATTTCCAGAGATACACAGTCTTTCCCCTGGATTTGCATGAGTATCTGTTGCATCGTTCTTTCTCTCAGCAGCTGTACGTAGAAGACCAGCATCAATTGTTTCTGCCAACATGAATGGGGTTCTTCTTCTCTTCTTAGTTACCTGGTGTGAAACAAAATAAATTATTAAACTAAATATCTGCTAATAACAAGGTTGGATGTTTGTAGCATAGAAACTACTTTACCCTATATAAACTAAATTGATCACAATTCAATATATTTTAAAACCAAACCTGAGAATGTTGTGCATATTGCGCTAGTATTTATACCTATCAAAATACCATACCTTGTCTAGTGAGAACCATGAGGCGTCTCTTCCACAAATATTACATATCTCTGGGAGTACATCCGCGTTTCTTTTAGGCAGGGCCTTTATATTTATAGCTTCTGCGACTGATTGACGTGTATTGATTTTTCGCCTTGATTCTATTGCCTCCACTTCCACGTGTGATTCTTCGGTAAAAGTTATAGTTTTAGAGCTAGTTCCTTCTCCTTTTTCTTCTTTTCTCTGTTATCTACGGATCTTCGGTTCATCACAAAATCTCGTCCAGCATTTCATATGATGGTTCCATTCTAAGTTAATGGTGTCAGAGTTCTTCTCGATGTATGAATTGACAGATCAATCATCGATGTTCTCGTACGATTTCTTAGCTATTTCAGCTTGTTGACATTTAAGTTTGGCCCATTTTGACCTACACTCAAGAAATTTCTTTAGCCTTTGGCGTGTAACTTTGCAAAGTTGCTCCGTATCGCTCAAAATGCATAAAACATGAGGATATTCCAGTTTTATAAATATCTTCAGCCATGTTTATTTGCATAACTGAGCGTGTTTCCACTTCGAAGCATGTGCGTTCGTTGTGCGCGTGCGCAGTGCGAGTTTGGCTGAGTTGCGCATGCGTATTTGCTATCAAAACAATGGCGGTTCGAATATTTCGAAGCGCGAAAATATCAAACTTTGGAGGGATTTTTCTCCCAATTGTGCACCTGTTTCGCTTGGGGAGCAACGGATTCTGATAAAGTAAGTTTTTATCTATTTATTCATGTGAAAATTACGTAGTTCCACGAGGGGTGCAACGGAATCCGTTTTCTAAGCATCTTTTGGATGCTCATCCCACGGCCTAGCTGTGTTGTTTAGTTTTTCATATGCGCAAAGACAAAGACCATCGGGTTTTAATTATCATATTTTTGAGATAAGTGAGGATGACCACCCACGCACAGTGAGCCACGCCCGCGATCATTGGTGAACTTTAGACTTCGCTAATGCTTTCGTTTCCCCGGGTGTAAATAGCCGGGGGGGGGGGGAATTAGTACCCTCGCACGGCGCTTGGCGCCGTCGATTCGGGGACAATTGCGAGACCAGTTTATCTTCAAGGTGACTGTTGTTAAAGAAGCGCATGATGGAGCGATTTGATGAGCGATTGAGTAGGCGAATTGCATTGGGTCGAAAATTGAGGTTGTGAACAGTGGTAACTACATCGAGGGCTAGCCGAAGACAGAAAGACGAAGCAGTGGTATGAACTCGGTCAGACTTTATATTTGTAAAAATAATTAGCTTAGGTAGGGTTGTCTTTTAAAATGTTAAGAGTAATAAAAAAATATATTGTATAATTGTTTATACGGTCTGTGATCGTTAGTGGCACTCACGTTGACGATTTTAACTCGTCACAGCCATGTGCGCGCGATTATTGACGAACTTGAGACTTCCGGCGCTAATGCCTTTCCCCGGGGTTAATAGGCCAGGCCGAATTAGTACCCTCGCCCCCGGTTTACGCTTGGAACGGCACTCCACGCCGTGGGTTCGGGAAATATGAGTTACACAACAGTCAAGCGGAACAAATTTCCTTAGCTGTAGTTGTCTGCCATAGATATCTTATATACACTAGATAGTGCATCTAATTATTCTGCAATTCAAAAATTGAAGCCGTGATTGCAGTGTCAGGTCGTTCCCATGAAATGAGAAGATTCGTATATTTTCTATTTCTTAAACAGGGAACTTAAACATTAAGTTGACCCTATTCCAAATACGTTTTTAAAACTATTCAAATGATGAAAGTTATTGTTGTTCTTTAGCGTTTATTAGCAAGTGGGAACGACCAACATGGCCGCCATCTATTCAAATGGGGGTAACCGCTGGAATATTCTTGGCTTCAATTTTACTAAAAGAGATGCGCTATCTAGTGTATATAAGATATCTATGTTGTCTGCACGTACACAAGAATCTGTAGTTGTCTGCACAATCTAAGAAATTTTGGTCATTTTCCTTTTGTTTATTTACCATTTTTAATAAAAGCTTGGTTTTCATGTCCCAACAAAACATTTACGTCAACAAAATTTACATCGGACGGAACTTATGTTATGAAACGATTTTGACATGGTCAAATCTATTTATGTGTCACTAGCTATGCTACCTCCGACGGGACTCGAACCCGCAATCTTCGGCTTAGGAGGCCGACGCCTTATCCATTAGGCCACGAAGGCTTATGTTAGCGGTTCAGGTAGATCTCCTGATTTACGCGAAGTATTGTTATGGAAAGCCATCAGCAGAATGGTTAGGCTCACACTACTTATTTGAAATGTTGTCCATTGTCAAATATGTTTTCCTTACAGTGTCATTACGCGCAATTAGCCTCCGAAAGGAATCGAAATTCGCGGTGTTTGGCTTCCTTGCTTTGACTTTTGTTTTCTTTTCGGCTTAAAAAAAAGTATCATAATAATTTGTCCATTGTCAAATATACTTTTCCTGTTATGTCATAACATCGAATTAGCCTGCGACTGGAATCGAAATAAAAAGCTTCCCGGCTTTCTTTTTTTGGCTTTAGTTTTCTTTCCTACTTGGTGTTTTTTTTTCGGTTGCCTGCTTATATATATAGAGCGTTTGCGGATGACGTCAAAGGCGCCATGTTGGTATTCCAATTCACAAAAATTTTAATTAGATTCTTTTATCTGGAACACCAACATGGCCGCATTGCCATTGGCTTTTGTTGAGTTTGTCCCTGCGGAATGAGTACAAACGGGCTATAGGGAGTGTTATTATAATGATTTGCATCCTTGGCACCATTTTTATGAAGGTTACGTCATTATCAGGTCAATGTTGGTGCCATTACAAACAAATTGAACTTACCTCTGATGTGATGCTACCCCGGAATCTTCGGCTTAGAAAGCCTACACCTTATCCGTCAGGCCACGAATTCTCATATACATTGAAAACTGCACTAGCCTTCTGCTCTATAATCCCTAATAACTGAGAAGCATTTTGCAATGATAAAACTAAAAAACATTCTACCAGTTTATTATTGGCAAACAAATGTTTGTGATCATAGTATTGACCTCCTCACTCGCATTAAATTGAATTAACCTCTGTGTCTATGAAAATTTGTCTTCTTTCCTCCAACTATTTCTAGTGCATAATAATCGGCGACCATTTAAAATTGTTAGGGCCGCGCTATTTGTGTTGTCGAATCTATTTTCGTGTCCTACTAAAACATTTACTTCAATGAATTTACCTCCGGCAGGACTCAAATCTATTTATGTGTAGTTATGTTACCTCCGACGGGACTCGAACCCGCCGACGCCTTATCCATTAGGCCACGAAGGCTTACGTTGATAGTTCTGATAGATCTCCTGATTTAGGACCCGTTCACACTAGCGTTTTTAATTCGATCCGAAATCGATTCGAGTCCGAAAGAAATAAGTGTGAATGGTCTCTTGCGAGCCAAGATTGATCTCGATCCGAGCTAAAGTATAGATCACTTCCAGAGGTGGTCTCGGTCCGGATTAGTTTAGTCCCCATTATAATGTCATGAACGCACAAAACGAAGCGAACTGAATCAGCCAAGGTGGTAAGGCGTGTTCGTGACTTGGTAACCACTTGAAACCCCCAAGCGCGGGAAAAACAAACTGAAAAATACAACAGCCATTTTGTTTTTGAGGCACTTTTTAGTTATTGAAAATTCATGTCAAAACAAAAACGTGGATAAGACATTTTCCGTTGCCCATGTGATAAATCGCGGCAAGAGAATACCAACGATTGCCTGGCCAACTTCGTTTACAATTTCACATGCTGTGCTCTTTGCCACATCAAATCTGCAGCCAAAGGAGTGAATATTTTCTCCTGTTGCCGTTGCCACACGTTGTCGGACAAGAATTGACATTCCAAATCGAGTACTCTGCTTTTCTAAAGTTGGGGAGAACGCCTCGGTAATAAAAGAACGTGAATATGACTTTTCGTCGTGCGGAGGTATCTATCGATAACCTATACCGTCTGTCATCTGGTAATTGGTTCGACCAAGAATTGTCTTTCTACCGCGCAGGCATCCAAATATTTAAGCATGGCAGTTTTATGTTTGTTGTTTTTGTTAAGATCTACAGAACTAGTATGGTTCAATGCTGAATTAATATAAACGAATATGTTTATGACATTCAGTATATAGTTCATAATTTCTATTCTTAAATCCGTCTGACCGTGTAGCTCAGTTGGTAGAGCGTCGATCTAGTAATTCGAAGGTCGCAGGTTCAAGATCCAGCCGCGGCAGACAATATTTTTCTGCTTGCGCTAGGTATGAAAATTATGAAGTACATACTCGAGAACATTTTCACCATTTTCAACTTTTCAAGATATCTTAACATTGTCTGGTGTTGTCTTTTTGATGTTTTGGCACGTGTTTTTGTCTTTTCTAAGTACTGTACAGTCGTATTAAAAATATCCGCCATGTTTGTTTCATGAAAGAATTCTATCCACAGCTACCCTAGTAGTTTACCAATAGTCCTATATAAGTAATCCTTTCTACTGTAAATGCTCGACAACTTTAACCAGTTTGCTACCACCAAGTCGTCCAAGTGTGGTGTTGACGAAATGACCCACTATGTTAAACCGACGCTCCAAAAGAAACCAAAGCATATTATCCTGCACATAGGTACCAATGACCTGCAAACGAAATCGCCAGATGCGTTAATTAAAGCTGTAACAAAACTTGGAGAGGCCATAACGCAAGAAATAAGTGGTATTGAACTTACGCTGTCGGAAGTCATCACAAGAACCGACGATTTGCAACTTGCTGATAAGGTAAACATTTACAATAATAAATTAGACAATCTATGTACTGAACGCAATTGGGGATTTATTACACATAAAAGTATCACTAAGACTAATTTAAATAGCTATGGTTTGCACTTAAACCAAAGAGGAACAACTGCATTGTCAAGAAACATAAAACAGTTTTTAAACTAGGGATCCAAGGATAGTGTGAAGTTTCAAATTGAAAAAGTCACTGCAAGAGCTGTATTATTTACAGTTACATAATTTATTTACAGTATTTCAGCATCACTTTCGGAGCGACAGGCTTGCGTTGCAGATCGGAAGAACAATTGCCTCGTGTGAGTCGTGACACATGACCTACAAGGCTATAGGCTAAGCTAATACTATTATGATCCCTGATCTTTGGTTGTAGCCTCACGTTTCACACGAGTTGTGGACGGCTGTAGTATTTTTATTAACTATGCTGTAAGCAAACAAAATGTCGAATGGGAAACAATTCTGTATTTCGCTATTTAATGTCTGTAATCAGGTTTCCATGAATCTTCGTGAGAGAAGATATTATTAACGTTAGTTCGACAAAGAGTCAGTTCGCATATTAGTATACCGGGTGTCCCAAAAAAAAGTACTCCTGTTTGATTCGTAATAACTTCTAAACAAGTAAAGCTTTTAAAGAGAAATAACTTGCATCAAATAGGGGAAGGATTAACTTAGATTTTGATATATTACAGTTGTATTTCACTTAAAATTCACGGAGATATTAATGTTTAAAATCGGGAGCATATTTCTCGATGTGTCTGAAACATGCAAAAAACGGCGTATCAAATATTAATCAAGATTTGCCCGACTGAAACATGGACTATTACCAGTAAATAAATGACACTTGACAAATTGTTTATTATGAAACGAAGTATTATTATATATGTACAAAATACAAGCAAGATTTATTCGTCCGAAATTCGCGTGTGTTCCTAGCACGAATACGTTTCCTTATTTCATGAGACCACTGCATCGCGAAGGATCGCCATCGATCGTTCGTAGTTCTGAACTAGGGCATGCTGTCACAATGGAATTGCGAAGCTCTTCTAACTTCTGCAACGTTCTGAAATCTTGTTAAGAACACCCAAACTCTTTTGCCTTTTCTTAATCTTGGCAAGTTCAGAGTAAACAGATAATTATATGAAACACAATCAAACCGTACAACGTCATAAGACATAACAATTAAGCAACTCCCCAGAGGCATGCAATATTTTTGGAACAAAACGTAACAAAATAGTAGCATTGATACGCGGTGATGCGTATTTGCAAAAAGCAATATTACTTCTTTCAATAAAGAATAATATTCATCCTGCTCTAACCGAGAAATAATCAACTCAGTCTGTTTGAACCCATTAAAAACATAAAAAAATTATGCTATTTAAGAAAAATTTAAGCGCCTGCCTTCCATGGTCTTTCATGTACCTTTAAGTTTGTAAAGACCTATTAAATACTTGTCAATACTTGCATAATTTCGAAGTTCATATTTCAGGAAACAATGAGCTAAGACTTACATGTAAGATGTCTAAATCTACGCCATATCCCTTACAAACCCTAACGACAATTCGCTGAAATACAAGTTGGCCGGATATGTCATTAAGCAAACAAACTCAGGAATTAAATTTGACATGCCGATTTTCGCTAATTTTAGACACATCCCAAAATATGCTCCCGAATTTGAACATTGATATCTCCGTCACTTTTTAAGTAAAATACAACTGTAATATATCAAAATCTAAGTTAGTCCTTCCTCTATTTAATGCAAGTTATTTCTCTCTTAAAGATTTACTTGTTTAGAAGTTATTACGAATCAAACAGGAGTACTTTTTTTTGGGACACCCGGTAGTCTATAGCTTTTGTCTTTTTGATATCAGGAGGTGACAGTCGATAACCAGTCTACGTCACTTGAAATGTTTATTTCTTGCCATATATTTTCGTTTCTTGTTGGTTGAATGATGATCGTGGCTTCAACATAATATGTTTTTCTTCTCTTTTCTCTCAGTTCAGATCACACATTTAAGTTAATCATAGGCGTTGTGCAGTTCTCTTGTAATTTTACTGTGATGACTGACAGTTCACAATGTATGTTTGGGATATGTGCTGGCTTCATGTTGTTGCTATTGGTGCGAACTTGGAAGTCGGTAATTTCGAAATTGTTAGCCACACTTTGAGGGTTGAATATTTCAGGTTCCTATAATCTTCATTCAATATGGTCATGAACTCATGATGTCACTAAAATAAGGATGAAAAGAAAATTAAATGAGTACAAGAATACTGTAGCTATATACACAGTGTCGTAAATTGCGAAGGGAGTCAATTAAAAATATATAAAATTGATTAAAACTCACCTTCTTAAAGGTTCGGTGTCGCAGCGAGACTGCTTGCAGCGAGACATCTTCGGCCGCTATAGTAAGTAGCGACGTTGACCCCTCGGTCTGAGTCCATTTGAGTTGATAAAAGATTTTGTGGCTATGAATTTATTGTATACAGTATGACTCTATATCACTATGTTCTGATATGTTCTATTAAACATTGTATCTTTGTTCTGATTTCTAAGATTGTTCTGACTTGAAGATTAACTTGAAGCTTGTTGATATTGGGATGCAGTATTTTTAATTTATACGTCCAGTATATTAAATTTAAACTTCTTGAACTCTTCATTTATTTATTAATAAAAAATATCAAATAAGTGACACGAAAATAGGCTTATGATCGCTAAAGTACGATTCTAAAACACCACTACTTTTTACTCTTTCAGGGATATTAGTGTATATGTGATCAATTTGTGTTTTATAGTCAGTTGTCACTTGGCTAATAAGTTGCACGTATTGCTTCTCTTCGATTAAATATTTAGAAAGTGTATTTTTGTCGAATGCATTTTCAAAAAGGCTAACATTAAAATCACCAAGGATGATAACAGGAGTATTTGGGTCATTTTTATACGTGGAGTGGAAATGTTTTAAAGCATCTACGAACATTGAAATTTTTACTTTTGATTTCGAGCGATAAATTCCTACAACATGTAAATTATTTACTGGTTGGTTTACTTTGAGTAATGTCATTTCTACTTGATTATAGTTGCACATTGAAGGTTCTAAGATGAGTTGTATATTGTCTTTTTACGTAAACAGCAGTTCCGTAAGGTGTTCTAGCACCATCTGGGATGAAATCACTTCTGAATAGTTGAAATCCTGGAATCTGATACGATTCATTGTTGTCATTACTACATAGAGCAGTTTCTACAAACATATTAATATCTGCTGCTTTTACATTATAATCACTCGCAACGTCAGCAACGTGAAGATGTAATGATCTCACATTCTGGAATAACATTTTAAATGTCTCACTAGTATCTTTATAGAGAAATGGAAGATGACTTTTAAGTACAGAATGTTGTCTTAGTCTTGTCATTTCTTCTTGTACCTTCTTGCTCACAGCTATTTTTTTTCCGTTCAGATTAAGATGTAATCCCAAAATGCTTCTAAGTCTGCTAAGAGCAACGTAATGCATGCATGTATTCTCGCTTTAACGATGGAAGGTCAACAACGGCTTCATTTAATGTATATCCTTGACAACGGTGAATAGTTTTGGCTGCAGATGGTCTTAAAGGAAACTGTCTGCGAAGAACTTGTATTTTATTTTTTGTAAACTGTCTTTTTACCTCAAGAATTGGAACCCAATTTTTTTCTATACTTTGATTGTAAAGATAAGAGTATTCTCTGCGATAATCATTCCCAATATGTTGTTCTTGAAATAAAACCCAGATAATACGTGGTCTTGATGAACCTTCTACTCGGTAATCGATTTTCTTGATGATACATTCAGCACCATTAGTCAAACCATCTAAAACTGACACGTTTGTCATGAGGTCATACTTTGCTTCCTTAAGTATTGAACATACTGAGTACAAGCCCATGGTTTTCGAAGGACCGTTTGGGATTTGTTTTTTGAGTCTTTCTTTCAAGTCGTCAGATAAATCTCCAAGTACAATGTCTATTGTTTTAATGTCGACCTTCTCGTTTGAAGATTTCTGGAAAACGTCATGATCATTATGTTGATCAACTGCCATATTAGTACTGAATAAATGGGTTAAAGATATTGGATAATCAGGATGTTGTGGACTAATGTTTAAAATTCTTTCTTTCAAAATTTCAATGTCAGCTTCTGTATGATTTCCTTCTCTGATACGATTTAAAATTTCAGCAAACTCTTTGTCTTCCCTTTGTCTCATAACCTCAGATAATTCAAACATTTGAAAATATTTTTGCCAGAGATTTTTTGCTAATGCAGCATAACCATCCTTTGAATTCTCAAATATCCAATTATCGAACACGGGTTTCAGTTGAAATAAGTCGCCAACTGTTATTATGCTAAGA